AGAAGAGGGAGAAGCAGACTTCCCACTGAGCAGGCAGCCTGTCATGGGCTCAATCCCAGGACCCAAGATCATGCGTGACCTGAGCCCAAGGCAGACGCTTAACCGACTGAGACACTGAAGCGCCCCTACACATCCAATTGTTTTAAATACACCCCTAAAAAGCAGATTTTCAGCCAGTTAGAGCCTGCTGCTTTGCACACCCTACAAAACTGTGCCCAACATCTGTTAAGCATGGATAAAATAGACCCTGCATTTATAAAGACCCCAAGCCACCACTGTCCTCTGCAGCTCTCAGATCCAAAGACTCCCTGCTATGCAGCTGAGCAACAGTACCTAGACCTGCAAGTCCCCTCTCCAGTCCCCCTCTCCAGTAGTCCCCTTGCCCTCCCCTTCTGGATGGTTTCCACCACCCCACTCCACCCTAGAGCCACCCACCCCAGCCCCCTCTGACTCAACTCCCACCTCAACTACCACACCAATCCCTGTGCCTTGTAGCTTCTCAACGGACTCCTCCTGTGAGTGACTTCGACTGCTTGCAAACCTGTCAGAGCATTGCCTAAATAAAGTTTGTCTGTGCTCCTGCTACCTTGTGGTCATATCTCTTTCCTTCATCAGCCCTGAAATCCTTCACCCTATAAATAGCATTTATATATTTTAAGACTCCGGGACAAATCACCTTCTCTGCGAAAACTTTTTTTTTTTCTGCGAAAACTTTAATAACATCTTCAAATAGTCCCTTCCTCCCTTTTGCTTCCATAGTATAATCTCTCTATTATAGTACTTTCTCCATTATAATGTAACATCTCTCCAGACTATGAGTTCTAGAGGGCATAAACAATACCTATTTTATTTTTACCTTCCTTGTTCCTAGAATTGGATTTAGCAATGGTAGATTCTCAATAAATATTTTTCCGAATATTTTTTTTCCAAATAGTTAAATGCTAATTTACTATATGAACTCAATCAATAAGTATGGTGAGAGGACAATCAATATGTAACGCATAATACGTGTGTGTAATCAGTATGGATAGGGACAGAGTTGTCTCTGCAAGCAGCTTATGCTTACCCTCTACAAATAGATCTGGACATCTATAGCCCTCTGAGAAGGGAGTCCATCCCCTACTCACTCCTAACTTCATCAGCCAAACATACTATTGAGTGAAAATGCCGAACTGGGTAGATGTGGTGAATTGGTTTAGGATAGAAAAGAGTTCAACATAGATTTTAAAAATACACTCAAGTATGATATATGGGAGTAGAAAGGCTCAAAAAGAACACCTATCACCTACATGGTATGACAGGAGTATAGTAAAAAGGGCAACACAGTCTGATGGATCTGAAACTCCTAAAGGACCTCAAGCCATACAGAGTTTCCTCAAAACACCATGGTTCAGCATAGAAGATCTAAAACTCCTGGAAGACCCCAAACTCCATAGAATTCCTCATAGCACCATGCATGGTACAGAATAAGAGATCTGAAGCTCCAAAATACACCAAGTTCTATTTAATTTCTCACAGCCCCACAGCACAGCACCCAAGAGTACAGATAGCTAGATGGGAGTTCTGTGACAGGTGAGGCTGTAATGGCTTCCCAGGGAACCTCAAGCATCCCCAAAAGGAACTAAGATGTTCCCCATATTGCAAGAGTCAAGTGGATATGCTTTTAAACACGGGAGTTCCATAAAGGTTTCATTGTCTCTGTAAGGCACAAGGAAAGTTGATGTGATGTGGACCATGTGAGCTTAACACCAGCTGGGTCCCCAGGTCTTCAGGGACCACCAGTCAGGACTAACACAAACACAGCCAAGTGCTATATATCAGCAGCAGATGCCAGCAAGGACAGCTAATGATAAATGAAGACCAGATGCCACCATTTCTCAACCACAGGGTAGCACTATATAAGTTGTTCCCTCAAGTCTCCATCTTTTCAGGATGAGGATGAGTGGAGGAAGTGGAGTTGATTGAGAAAGCCCAGAAGTGACTGACATTAATCTGAGTTATGTAAGATTGAATTTCTACCACTAGGCCAAATAGCCATTCACATAGAAATTAACTTCATTATATGAAAATTTTAAAAGAAAGTATTTTGATACACCATACCCTTTATACATATTTCAAGTACCTACTATGTGCAAAGCACTGTGCTGGGTGCTTGGAGGATACAATGCTGGGTCAGACATCATCCTTAAATGAGTCTAGTTTGGGCAAAAATGTGATCACACAAAGTGATTCTGTCAACCTGAGATGTTTTACAAAGAGAATCCAAGAGCTCTAAGGAGGTTCACGAAGGTCAGAAATAATATTGATGTCATTTATTCGGGGAAGTTTCATGAAGAAGAGTGCCTTTGGAGGAACAACAATGAAATTCCAATATTTTGAGTGTCCTTTAAGACTGTAATAAAGCATTTACATTTACAGGGAGCAGATTTGTACAAGCAGATGGCAGACAAATTATCTATTGATTTAATGTTGCCTTTTCTAGAGCACTATCACCCACGTGTTGACTTGAAGCCATTGCAAAATCACCATTTTTGATGTCTCCATAACGAAGCAGGAGGGTCAGAAATAGCATTTAGCATCAGAGGACTTGAAACTGAACATTGTAGCACCAACAATCAAGAGAACATCTAAAGATAAACTTTAATGCTTTCACCTCAGCTTTCACTATTTGCTTCCTCTCAACTGCACCAGAAGTAACTAAGAGATGGTCACATTCCTGTAACCATGGAAGTTCTCAGCCACTTGAATGACACTTGAAACAGGCCCAGCAAACAAAGAGGGTTACTCTTCAAAGGCCACAGTACCGGTCAGAGGCCAAGGTAGGAAAAAACTAGGAAAATGCCAGCACAGAGACTCACGTGATCCTCGGTGGTATCAGTCATAAGATCAGAAATAAGGAAGAGAATGTACACCAGGCAAGGTAGTTGACAATGTTCTCTGAAAGTTGATTCAATGTTTAATTGACTCTCTGAACCACTTGGCTACCAAAATGAACAAGTAAGAGATAAAAATAGAAACTGGGGAGGAAAGATGAAACCTCTCAGCTGGACTCTAAGACAAGCTAAATGCAAGATCATGAGCAAGTGTTTCTGCTTTTCTGGGTCTGTTTCCTTGCTGATCTGAAGAAAATTAACTGAATGGTTTCCATGTTCCCTTCCAGCTACGGAAGTTTAATAGAATCCCAGTACAAATAAAAGGAGTGAAAAAAATAACTTAAAAAATTGTCTAGGAAAGGAAGGGGACAAAAAAAGGGGGAGCGGGGGAGAATGAAATAGGGGAGAGTGAAATAATTTTTTTCTATTGCCTGTATAAATATTTCAGTTGTAACATGCAGTTTGCTATACATTCTTACCCATGATGTATTCTTGTTTCCACTAAGACCTAAATCCAATGCCTTATAACCCAACTCACATTGACAAAATGTGGTTGGTAGAATAGAGAAGAACCTAGGCATTTCTTGTCAAAGTGGATGTTTTATCTCAAAGACTAGAGTCACAAAGTTGAGCCATGCTACATAATATTCCTGAGAAATGTGTGCAATAATTTTTATCAAACCTACATTATTTCATTTTGGTTTTGCTTTATGTGGATCATTAATCCCAACTATACTTGGTCTTAAGCACATAAAAGCGGACCACTGTTACCTGCAGTTCTCATTTTATTCACCAAAATGGCATATCACTACATACTGATGTCTTTTCCTTTAGAAAATCCTCAGTTGTTCAGAAAAGACAATAATATATATCTTTGTTTAAAACTTCTAAAATGTTTATGCTATTTGTGAGCACCATTATTGAGCCATGTACAGACCACACAGGCATTCTCTTATTCCTCCAATTCTTTTACTCTCCAAAAACACTAATATGGATATAAAAGAGCCCTAGAATCTAACATTATTATATTAGCTTCAGGTTGGGATGCCAACTTACCATGAAGTCTCACTAAATTCACAGGTATGAAACACACCTATCACAGTCCCCTAACACGGGAGCTCATATTCAGTGATAAAGTTCTCATGCAAATGAAAAATTTCCAAATGTGTATGTTCAATTTACCATGCACAATTTAAAATACATAATACATATACATATTATTAATATACATTTATATAAATAAATATTATATATAAATGTTCTACAAATAAATGTGCTCTGATTATTAAGCCAGAATCTATAAAGGATACTAAGTTAAATAAGGCACAATTCCCAAACTCAGAAAACTTACAAACTGGTTAAAGAGAAAAGACTGGAGGATTACTTTTCTATATGAAGTATTAATAAAAATAACAATTAACATTTACTGACTATTCACTATGTAGAAGCCACTTTTGCATGACACTTAAATGTATTGAGTTATTTAATTGACACAATAACTTCCTATGGTAGGTGCCATTATTAAATTTATTCTATAAATAAGAAAAATAAAGTTTAAAATACACTGTTTGTATCTATAAGATGTTTTATGTAAGCCTCACGTTAACCACAAAGCAAAAATCTACAGTAGATTCACAAGAAATAAGAAGGGATCAAAACATACCACTGCTATGGACAATTGTCAATTCACAAAAAAGACAGCAAAAAAAGAAAATCCCTGAGATTTCGTACACTGAAATTATAAGACATTGATGAACGAAATTGAGGAAGACAAAAATAATGGAAAGATATTCTGTGCTCATGAATTGGAAAAATTATAGTTAAAATGTCCATACTGCCCAATGCCACCTACAGATTCAAAACAATCCCAATCAAAGCTCCAATGGCATCTTACACAGAAAGGGAAAAACAATCCTAAAATTCATATAAAACCACAAAAGATCCCAAATAGATAAAGCAACCCTGAGAAAGAACAACAATGCTGGAGACATAGGCTTCCTGATTTTAAACTTTATTATAAAACTATTGTAACCAAAACAGTATGATACTGGCATAAAAACAGACATATAGACCAATGGAACGTAATCAAGAATTCAGAAATAGGATCGGCTTGAAGCGGCCCGGTTGCGGCCTGCTGGACCATGCTGAGCGGAGTGCGCGGCTGGCTCGCCTCAGCGCTGCGGGGTCCACGCGTGCCACCGTTCGCGGTCGCCCATAGGTGCCTTCACACGTCGGGGTCCCAGCGTCCGCGGACAAGAGCGAGAGGCCTGGAGACCCACCCCACGCCTTCAACCCGGCGCTGCTCGAGTTCCTGGTGTGCCCCCTCTCCAAGAAGCCGCTCAGATATGAAGCATCGACAAATGAATTGATTAATGAAGAGTTGGGAATAGCCTATCCAATTATTGATGGGATCCCTAATACGATACCGCAGGCAGCTAGGATGACACATCAAAATAAGAAGCAAGAAGAAATGGAGCAGCACTAGATCATAATTAAAAACAGCAACACACATAACTAAACTTTCTTGATACCACTTACCTTTTTAAAAGTCAGAGTGGCAGGTAATAAGTGGGGGAGAAGAATGTTTCTGTCTCTTCCTACGCTGACTGTCCTTATTCCGTTGGTCTCTTTAGCAGGACTGTCCTACTCAGCCTCCGTGGAAGAAAACTTCCCACAGGGCTGCACTAACACAACCAGCCTGTGCTTTTATAGTCTGCTCCTGCCCATTACCATACCAGTTTATGTGTTCTTCCACCTTTGGACTTGGATGGGTATTAAACTCTTCAGGCATAATTAATACAACCAGAGCCAAGAGGACATATATGTCATGTCTATCTCTGAAAGCTCAACTACATGGAAATACTGGAAACCCACTTAAATTGCAGGAAAGGTGCTTTGCCTTGCTTCTCTCAGAGGTTTAGGACTATGGGAGGCCTAAGCTGCAAAAGTTTCTTTTGCATTTTTTGTTCTGCCCTTGTTTTTTGAAAATTCTAATTTATAACTACTGTATCAGAAGAAACACTTAAGCAGTTTCTTGTTGGAAATTAACAGTCCCAACCACTACCTAATGACTTTCTTACCCTATTCACCTAAAAATTAATTAAAATTTTTATATGTTTATTTTAAAGTATTTGGCAGAGTTACATGTTAAGGATGACTAAAATAATTCATTCCAAAGGAGTTATGTTGGAGTAGTTGTAGAGAAACGTATTTGAGCTAGTGTGCTATAAAACTACAATAAAAGGGAAATTTCATGTACTTGCAAACATTCTGAGTTTGTAAAATTATCTTCGTTTGTCATCAAATGCTTACATTAGTAATAATAAAACAAGATGACACTTTTCCATTAAAAAAAGAATTCAGAAATAAACATCATAAACAGTCAACTAGTATTTGACAAGGAAGCCAAAAATACTCAATGAAACTTCAGCTGAAATTCAGTGAACTCTCCCACAAATGGTGCTGGGAAAACTGTATAATCGCGCAAAAGAATAAACCCGGACCCTTATTTTGGACACAAAATTTAACTCAAAATAGATTAAGACTTAAACGTAAGATCTAAAACTGTAAAACTACTAGAAAAAAAGGGGAGGAAAGCTCCTTGATATTGGTCTTAACAATGATTTTTCGCATATGATACCAAAAGCACAAGCAACGAAAGCAAAAATAAACAAGTGGGACTACATCAAACTAAAAAACTACTGCACAGAAAAAGAGACAACTAGAAAAATTACAAGACAACGTATGGAATGGGAGAAAGTATTTGCAAACCATCTATCAAACAAGGGGTTAATATCCAAAATATATAAAGAACTCATCCAACTCAATAGAAAAATAAACCAAACAATCCAACTAAAAAATTGGCAGAGGACTTGAATAGATATTTTTCCAAAGAATACATACAAATGGCCAGTAGGTACATGAAAAGAGGCTCAACATAACCATTGATCAAGAAAATGCAAATCAAAACCATAATGAGATATTACCTCACATCTGTTAAAATGATGATTATCAAAAAGACAAAAGATGACAAGTATTGGCAAGGATGGTGAGAAAAGGGAACTTTTATGCACTGTTGATGAGAATGTAAATTGGTGCAGCCACCTTGGAAAACAGTATGGAGTTTCCTCAAAAAATTAAAAACGGGGGCACCTGGGTGGCACAGTCAGTTGAACGTCCAACTCTTGGTTTCAGCTCAGGTTGTGATCTCAGGATTGTGGGATCAAGCCCTGCATCAGGCTCCTGCTCAGCACAGAGTCTGTTGAGATTCTCTCTCCTCTCTCTCTCCTCTCTCCCTACCTCTCCCCCCAGTCCACGCTCTCTCTAGAATAACTAAATAAATCTTTTTTAAAAAGTTAAAGACATAACTACCCTACGATGCAGCAATCCCACTACTGGGTACGTATCCAAAGGAAATGAAATCAGAATATTGAAGAGAGAGCTGCTCTCCCATGTTCATTGCATCGCAGCATTATTCACAATAGCCAAGACACAGAACCCAACTGTTGTCCATTGACCAAAAAAACCCTGAGTGTCCATAATGAATGGACAAAGAAAATGTGGTGTGTGTGTTCCTGTGTGTGTGTGTGTATTATATATGTGTGTATATAATGTGTATATATGTATATAATCACACACACATCCAATGGAATGTGATTCATCCATAAAAAAAGAAGAAAACCTTGCCTTTTGCAATTGCATGGATGCACCTTGAGGGCATTATGCTAAGTGAAATAAGTCAGACAGAAAAATACAAGTACTGCATGTTCTCACTTATGTGTGGAATCTGAAAAAGCCAAACTCAGAGAAATAAAAAGTAGAATGGTGTTTGCCAAGGCTGGGGACCTGGGGGAAAGTGGTGAAGGCGGTCAACAGGACAAACTTCCAGCTAAAAGATGAGTAAGTTCTGGGGATCTAATATACAGAATGGTAACTACAGTTAACAATTCTATATTAAATACTTAAAAATTGTTGAGAGTAAATCTTAAGTGTTATCACCACACCAAAAATAAATAAATAAGGTAAGTATGTGAGAGGGATGGAAATGTTAACTAACTTTATTCTAGTTATCATTCCACAATATATATGTATACCAAATCATCACATCATATACCTTAAACTTACTTATATGTCGATAATATCTCAATAAAGCTGGAAAAATAAATAAGAAAAACGGATATAGAAAGGGTATGTAAATCTCACACATATAAAAGTCAAAGTCAGAATTCTAAGCAGGCATTTGTTAACCATTGTGCTATATTGCATTAATACACCAGACACAGTATAAACAAGGGCACAAGGCAGCCAATTATCAATTAGCAAATGAGTGTTACAAATAATGTGTAGTTAAGGATAATATGACATTTGATGAATCCTTGCTACATTTAGGTTTTGTGCAATCCAGAGCCAAGACAATGAATATTTATACTTCATGCTGTGGGTTTTACACCAATGGTTTAATGTTTGATTACCACCTACTTTATGCAGAGCCTCAATGACTTACTTCATAAAATAAATTCCATGTGTGTCAACTGCCAGGAACCCAAAATGTATATCATTGCTCATTAATACATTGAAGATTTTACCAAAAGTATTCTCTTAAAGTCTTCTGCATCTCAAGAGGGAAAAAAGAACCCATTAAAAGCACAGTTCTGCTTAGTTCCACCTTGAACTATGTAACAGTTCATCCTAAAGCAGCAATCACCTAAGAATTTATGCTACATGTACCCATCAAGATCTACAATTAAAACAGCAAACCTTCTCTGTTATTTTCTTCTGTCATTTTCTATGCAAATCTACCATTTAGTCAGAGCCAAATATCTGTCTTGACTAAGGTCTTACTAAATTGAATCTTTACACTGCTTTTAGAAGCAAAGCAAAGAATGGAAACACACAATGAGCTTTAGTCCTAAAGTACTCCACAATACTGAAATTGCAATCATTTAAATAGTCTCATTTCTCCAAAATGAAACAGAATGTATAGGGAAATGGAAATTTTAATTCACTATGAAGAGCCTAATTAGCTTTGCAGATAAGAACTAAAGGTTTGTGTGGGTTTCTCCAGCCTGCCCTAACCTCCCAGGCTACTCAGACAGATCATTAAATAAATTCATCTGCAGTTGGTGCTGTTGGCCCCACAAAAGTGACCAGTGGCTCTGCTCTGGCCAAACCAATAAATAATAAAATTGAGCCTGACATAATTCCTAGGAACCACTATCTCATCACAACATTTCTAGCAACCTCTGTTACCTAAGAGAGCTCTGCATACTCTTCCCTAGTGTCTAAGCCCACCCTCTCCTTTAGGGAGCAATTCAAGCCCCACCTCATACATGAAGGGGTCCATAAATGCCCCCATTTCAGGGGACTCACTCTACTATGGACCTCTGGGACACGTGTCTTCTGCATCTCTCAGCTTTTGTTGTTCTATATTAAGAGCAGAATATACCCTACCTGAGCACAAGATGTTTCTGCTCTAAGTTCCTTTGTATCCTTAAGTTCACCTAGGACAGTGATTTGCACATTGTAGCGGCTCACAGCTTCAGAGCATTCTTCTTTAAGCAGAATTTGTTAAGAGCCTAGTTTTGTAGACTCTAAGAAGTATAAAGAACTTCATTAAAATAGGATACCGCACCTCACAAGGAGGTGTAATTGTGAGGCCCCAGTGTGCTTGAGAGGCTCTGGGGGAATTTTCTGGGCTAAACTGGCAAACACCACATTCTCTAGTCTATAATATTCAGGCAGGTTCATCCTCAACACCTTTTAAAACTTCACAGATCTCACATTCCCCCTCTAAAGATGTGTTTTACTTCCCTTACATTCCTGTTTTATTTATTTCCTATGATGCTTCTCTAGGACAAAGAAATTTTTAAAAATTAGACCAAAATATAACCTAGAAAGGTCCTATATGAGAATTTTTTTCCAAGGAAAAGGGCAGGTAGAAAGAGTACCTTGGGCCTGGGCAGAAATTTAAAATCACAGGATTAAGAGTAAGAATGACTTTGATTTCAAGTGACAGGAAACCAATTTGAACCAAATAAAGGGAGAAGAGTGGGAACTTTTATAAGAATTCTTAGTATTCTCATGAGATCCCAGTTCTGTAGAACAGCTCACATCAGTTCTTTAAATGCCAGTATTTCTCTCTCCATTTCTCATAGCTCATCGTGGCTGCCCTCCACATATCTGTTTCATGTCTCTCTATCCTGCTGTTCCTTCACTTACCCTGACTCTCACATTCTCTCTCACTCTCTGCTTCTCTTGTCCATATGGCAGTAAACTTGGCCACCAGCAGCTCTGAAACAGCACATCTCATAACTTCAGTTACCAGACAAGTCATTGAAGATGTTTCTCAATTTTAGTCCAAAGTCTTAGAAGAAGATGCTAATTGGCCTAGTTTTAATCAAATGCCCAAATCTGGAACTAAGGACTATAGCCAAGAGATAAAGTCACGTTGTCCAAAATGGCTGCCCCACGATAACCACAGAAGTGGGGATAAATCAGAAAAAGGAAAGAGGGGATCTAAGAAGAAATAAAGTATTCCATGTGGTAGATTTGACCGTTGGCAGGTCCCCTACCTCCAAGAGGAGGCCCTTTTGGTAATTCCTTGTCTGTTATATTTTGCAATGAAACAGAATGCCAAAATGTCTTCACCAGCAAGTAAGGGAGTTTCAGTCATCCTAACTGGACACAGTGGTCATGTGCTCCTACAGATCGATAGATATATTCAGCTTATATTTAAGTCACAGTGAAGAAGTCCTGACTCCATAGAAGAACACAGATTAAATAACTGATTAAAGCCTGGT